AACGAAGGGAAGCGAAGGCTTTAAGGGCACGCAAATTTTTTCACAGCTTACTAATATTAAATGCAACTAAGTTGTGCAATAAAATTTTTCCCCCGAGCCTTTTCTAATTTTTAAAAAAATTTTTATTAATTTTTTTTTAATTTTTGGGACTATTTTACTCCATAAACGAAAGGAAGCGAAGGGTTTAAGGGCACGCAAATTTTTTCACAGCTTACTAATATTAAATGCAACTAAGTTAAGCAATAAAATTTTTCCCCCGAGCCTTTCCAATTTTTAAGAAATTTTTTATTAATTTTTTTTTTAATTTTTGGGACAATTTACTTTATAAACGAAGGGAAGCGAAGGGTTTAAGGGCACGCAAATTTTTTTACATCTTCCTGGCATCGAATGCAACTAAGTTGTGCAATAAAATTTTTCCCCCGAGCCTTTTCCAATTTTTAAAAAACTTTTTATTAATTTTTTTTTTAATTTTTGGGACAATTTACTTTATAAACGAAGGGAAGCGAAGGGTTTAAGGGCACGCAAATTTTTTTACATCTTACTAATATTAAATGCAACTAAGTTGTGCAATAAAATTTTTCCCCCGAGCCTTTCCAATTTTTAAGAAATTTTTTATTAATTTTTTTCTTAATTTTTGGGACAATTTACTTTATAAACGAAGGGAAGCGAAGGGTTTAAGGGCACGCAAATTTTTTTACATCTTCCTGGCATCGAATGCAACTAAGTTGTGCAATAAAATTTTTCCCCCGAGCCTTTTCCAATTTTTAAAAAACTTTTTATTAATTTTTTTTTTAATTTTTGGGACAATTTACTTTATAAACGAAGGGAAGCGAAGGGTTTAAGGGCACGCAAATTTTTTTACATCTTACTAATATTAAATGCAACTAAGTTGTGCAATAAAATTTTTCCCTCGAGCCTTTTCCAATTTTTAAAAAACTTTTTATTAATTTTTTTTTTAATTTTTGGGACAATTTACTTTATAAACGAAGGGAAGCGAAGGGTTTAAGGGCACGCAAATTTTTTTACATCTTCCTGGCATCGAATGCAACTAAGTTGTGCAATAAAATTTTTCCCTCGAGCCTTTTCCAATTTTTAAAAAACTTTTTATTAATTTTTTTTTTAATTTTTGGGACAATTTACTTTATAAACGAAGGGAAGCGAAGGGTTTAAGGGCACGCAAATTTTTTCACAGCTTACTAATATTAAATGCAACTAAGTTAAGCAATAAAATTTTTCCCCCGAGCCTTTCCAATTTTTAAAAAATTTTTTATTAATTTTTTTTTTAATTTTTGGGCCAATTTACTTTATAAACGAAGGGAAGCGAACGGTTTAAGGGTACGCAAATTTTTTTGTGCAACACCTGTAAGGAAAGTAATACTTTGCATGCCTGTAAAGTAGGCGCAAAACAGTACTTTGCTGCACTAGTGCGGCAAAGAGCTTACTTTGCTGCACTAGTGCGGCAAAGTGCTTATTTTGCTGCACTAGTGCGGCAAAGTTTTTACTTTGCTGCACTAGTGCGGCAAAGTTCTTAAACTTTTGGGTTTTTTTGGTGATATACATAGGTATTTGTTTTCTATTTGTAGAATACCTGTTTTTTACAGTAATATACGCGTAAAAAACCACGAATATTACGTGCGGTAACATACGTTCCAAACCCTGCTAAACAGTACGTATGTTAGCGTCAACTAGCGTTTCCAAACAGCTTTTTTATCAAAACCAAAAGGTGTTGCACAAAGTACTGTGTGCAACACGTACGAAAGAAGATTTTCCAACTTCGTGCAAATTGCTGCCCTCGCTTCGCTCGGGACAGCAAACTTTGCACTCGTCGGAAAACAGCTTCTTTCTGTACTTGTTGCACAATATACTATTACATCTTTCTGGCATCGATTGCAACTAAGTTGTGCAATAAAATTTTTCCCCCGAGCCTTTTCCAATTTTTAAGAAATTTTTTTTAATTTTTAGGACCATTTTACCCCATAAACGAGGGGAGCCGAAGGGTGTAGGGGGGCGCAAATTTTTTTACAGCTTTCTGGCTGTGAATGCAATCGATTTGTGCAATAAAATTTTTCCCCCGAGCCTTTTTCTATTTTTAAGAAATTTTTTTTAATTTTTTGGACCATTTTACCCCATAAACGAGGGGAGCCGAAGGGTGTAGGGGGGCGCATATTTTTTTACAGCTTCCTGGCTGTGAATGCAATTGATTTGTGCAATAAAATTTTTCCCCCGAGCTTTTTTCTATTTTTGAGAAATTTTTTTTAATTTTTGGGACCATTTTACCCCATAAACGAGGGGAGCCGAAGGGTGTAGGGGGGCGCAAATTTTTTTACATCTTTCTGGCATCGATTGCAACTAAGTTGTGCAATAAAATTTTTCCCCCGAGCCTTTTCCAATTTTTAAGAAATTTTTTTTAATTTTTAGGACCATTTTACCCCATAAACGAGGGGAGCCGAAGGGTGTAGGGGGGCGCAAATTTTTTTACAGCTTTCTGGCTGTGAATGCAATCGATTTGTGCAATAAAATTTTTCCCCCGAGCCTTTTTCTATTTTTAAGAAATTTTTTTTAATTTTTTGGACCATTTTACCCCATAAACGAGGGGAGCCGAAGGGTGTAGGGGGGCGCATATTTTTTTACAGCTTCCTGGCTGTGAATGCAATTGATGTGTGCAATAAAATTTTTCCCCCGAGCTTTTTTCTATTTTTAAGAAATTTTTTTTAATTTTTTGGACCATTTTACCCCATAAACGAGGGGAGCCGAAGGGTGTAGGGGGGCGCATATTTTTTTACAGCTTCCTGGCTGTGAATGCAATCGATTTGTGCAATAAAATTTTTCCCCCGAGCCTTTTTCTATTTTTAAGAAATTTTTTTTAATTTTTTGGACCATTTTACCCCATAAACGAAGGGAACCGAAGAGGGTAGGGGGACAAAAATTTATTTTTAGGTGTTGGTTATCATTTGGGACAATCTCACGTTGAAAAAAATTTACTTTTTTTATTTTTAATTTTTCGTTTTCAAAAACGTTTCGAACTTCAGCCTCATGCTTTCGTACGCATATCATGAAAACCCTAGAAAAAATTTGTGTACCCTGATAAAAAACCAAACAGTATCCCAAAAACGTCCATTTTTCAATTTTCAAAGTCAAATTTCTCGAAAACCTAGGATGATGGAACAATTCTGATTACGGATTCAGCTTTAAAAAACCTATAAAAATCACCCTATGCGATCCCAGAAATAATAAGAAAGTGAAATTCTGTTGCAGTGTGTTATTTAACATTTCGCCCCAGGGTGCATTTTTGGCTTTAACAACAAATATAAAAAATCTGACTAAAGATATTTAGCAAATACCTTTAGGTATCTCTTGAAAGGACCCAAATAAGGACCTAAAAAATCGCGATGAGAATAAATTCAAAAAATATACTTAAAAGTTGATATTTTCTTTTACGAAAAAATTTTTAAAAGTAGGGTGAAAACAAACTTTAAATATGGACACCACAAAAATGAACAGAATGTAACATAACTCCGGACATTTATTTAGAGTGATAACACCCTTCTATAATTAAAATTACAATGCTCTAACTATTTCCGTTCGAAAGATTAGAAAAATTAGCAATAACTGAAATAATTGCTTAACTGAAGCAGTGAAAACTTTAGGAAAAAAATTAAATTTAAATATAAAACATGAAAATTTTAAGTATTTTTGTTTTAAAAATATTTTAAGTGAATAGAATTTTATGTTAAAAAAACATGAATTGAAAAAATTAACGTGGGAACTTTTAAAAATTGAACAAAAATGAGCATGAAACAAAAGCAACGAAGACGGCCGTAGGCCGTCTGAGGCCCTAGTTTCTAAAAAAAGAAATTTCACTGAAAGTTTGAACGTCCAAAGGAAAGAAATTTATCTTTCTGTTTAAATATTTTCAAAACTTACTATTTACCGAATTTAAAAATATTTAAATTCAGTATTTATTTAGTTAATTAATTTTTCTATAATAAATAATATTTTTTAAAACAGTGGCTTGGAATTTAGATTGTTCGAATTTAAAAGAATTTTTGTAAATTTGTAAAAAAAAATGAGCGAAGGTTTTCTTAAAAATGTTTGCTATTATGTAATACACAAGCAAAAAGAGAATTTAGAGTTTTTATTATTATAATAGTTTTGTCTTTCGTATTTAGTGAACGTGTAGCCCAATTCCGGTAGAATTACTCAGCTCGAGGGCAGTGTGACCGGACCGGAACTTTGTCAAAAGCGATTTAACTTGTTTTGCTGTAACGTTGTCCCACCGGAAAAGCTTTGTAAATTTTCTCGAGGTCATTTTGTCTGCTTATTGCTTAAGCGTAAAAAGCCATGCATTTCGAATATTGATAAACCTTTAGGAAAGATACAATTTATTTGACATTATTTAACATTATCAATCATTAATATTCATAAATTAATAGAATTTTGTAGACTGTTAATTATTATTCTTCAATTTAATTACTTATAAATTTAAATACGTTTATATTTTTATAATATTTATGTACTCATTAATATATTCTGTTCTATTTTGTTAAAATTTTGTTTTGTTGAATATATTTATGTATACATAAATATTGTTCATTCGATCTTATGAGAGGAGTGCGACGCGTGAATGGAAAATAATGTCTGACTAAAGCGCGACTCACTTCACTTACCCAATTGGCATGCAACAAAGGCGTAAACATCTGTACATCGACAATTCGTCTCACGTCTCTTTGTTTATGGCATTAATGCGCTCATCTAAATTCGAGATTGTTAATTTCTAATTTTTCAAGAATTTAACAAAAAAAAGTATTATGTTATTATAATTAATTATTAAACTATTTCTAAATGCAATCGTTTTCGAAATAAAATTTTCTTTGCTGCTCTTAGAATAACATCGATTTATAAACATTTTTTCTCCTCGAAAGAAAATATTGAAAATAACTCTAAATCTAAAGAAAAAAGTATTTCATAATTATTTGAACAAATTTTTTTTCTCATTTCAGTCAGCAAGTCGCAATCTAACTTAAACGACATTGGAAAATCTGAACAGAAATCTAATGAATTGGAGAGGAAGCGAAAAAATAAATGGGACCCCGAGACTGGTAATATTTCTGTATTAACAGTATACGAAACGTTTTTCCAATAACAATTTTTTTTCTTAGCTAAAAATGACACGAAAAATATAATAATCCAATTGAATATTCAATTCTAAAATCATTATTGAAATACTCATAGTTTTAAATAGTTAATTAAAAATATTGAAATAATTAAAAATAATTTATGGGGTTAGTCCCCCATTTTTTTATAGTTTTAATTTTTTAATTCTTAAAAATAATTAAATAAAAGTAATTAAATAATTAAAAATTTATGGGGTTAGTTCCCCATTTGTTCATAGTTTTAATTTTTCAATTCTTAAAAATAATTATAATTAAGAGTAATTAAATAATTAAAAATAATGAAATAAAAAAATGTCTCTTTTTAATCGAACGAAAAAACATGTAAATCGAAATTGAATTCAATTATTCAAAGAAAATGAAAAATTAAAGAGAAAGTTTAATATTAAATGTACAGTGGCATAAAACAAGTTCAAGTCTCAGAATTGCAAATTTAAACAAATCGATAAAGATTTAATCAATCACGAACATGATATGCATGACTAAGAAGAAGTGTAACAGAAAGTAATTTAAATGCCATAAATTATTCTCTACAGTTATCAAGTTATTACATACTAATTTCTTACTTTAGATTAATTTTCTTTTAATTGGAATTCTTTAACAAGAAAGAAAAAAAAGCTGAAAAAAGTTTTCAAATATCACAAATTTACAAAAAATTATAATATATATAAAAGAAAATTAAAAAAAAAGATGATAATCAAATTGGAAATAAAATGATAAAAAAAGAGAAAAAAATACTAGAAGTAACAGTACGTAATAAAAGTAAAAAAAATAATAATTACATTAAGATGCAGTAGACATTTTCTGCAAAGAATAAAAAAGTTGCAATATCTTATTCATATAGTGTCACATATACAAAGCATAGGTATTGCATCTAATGGATTCAGTTAAAGTATATAAGAAGAACTTTTAAAAAAAATCAACTCGGCAACTTTGAGCTAAATTAGATATAATGTACTCGGTTCTTCGCGTCAGTATAAAGCTTTTGAAATGAATGAGAACTTCACATCCGTCGCGATCGGTCTCTCTCTCTCTCTCTCTCTCTCTCTCCTCTCTCGCCCTTTAGAAATTCCGCAAAGCCCTCAGGGGCAATATTGGATATTTCTTTTCGACGTTCATATTTTTCCCACTGCTTTTGCGCGCACCCTATTGGCAATTTCTTTTTAAAAGGAATTTGCTTAATGGCAAAGTGTGCAAATCTGTATTCTATGGCAGTGCACCAGATACCCGAGGTACTTGGGTAATTCCTCGAAGGAAGGAAAAAAGGAGAAAAAAAGAAGAAGAAGAAAAGGGAAGAGTGGCATCGCCTGCCAACCATTTGCCTCTGCATTTCGATGTCTTGTGTAACCTACAGCTGTTACAGCACAAAAATATTCGGACGCGATTTTTCTTTCCACATTGTATATTTCATCAAGCCAATATACCATCAATTCTCTACTTTTTATAAGAAAGCTTCAGATCTGTGCCTTTTTTCTAACGAAATCAAATTTTTAAGTCGAGATTTTTTTAATGAGATCTTTTTAATTATATTAAGAATACTCGAAAAAAATACAATTTTTAAAATTCATAAGAAAATTTTGAATGTGCTTTCCTCATAAAATATGAAATTACTATGAATTCTAATAATACAAAATTTTTTATTTTTTCCATTTCTCACAATAATTTACATTAAATAATTGAATTCTTTAAGAAAAATCATAAAATTATTACTTAGAAATTATTTAATGAATAATTTTACTTGAAACTTTCAAAAATAATTGAATTTTATAAGAGTTGGGTTTACAATTTTCATGAATAAATTAATTTCAAAAGGTTTCTAATTGAAATTTTAGAAAATTTTAATTTTGAATAAATTTAAAAATTTTAGTGAAAATAATTAAATTCATAGAACTAAGCATAAATTTAATTATTTTTAATAAAATTTCTCAAAATAATTCAATTTTTTTAAAGACTTTTATAGATTGAACGCCTTGATGCAAGAACCAGACATAGCTCCGAGAAAAGAGTGGGGGGTAGTCCCCTGGCAATAAAATATTCAACTTCAAAATTTTTGAATTTTTAAATTTTATTCTTATAAAGAATAAAAAACTGCATCTTTTTTTCCTTTGAGAAAAAGTTGTAGAATTAATATTTTTTTAAATAAAATTAAAAAACTTGTTTTTTCTCAAACGAATTTTTAATTAAAATTTCATCTTCAACTCGCTGCCAAATCTACAATTTTGCATATTTTTCAATCAAATTTAGAATGGACACACTTTATATTATCCTTTTTGAGCATATATGTTTTAAAAATTTATATGTTTGTTTATAAACAAACTAAAAAATATTTATTAGCCAATGGTAAAATTTTAACACCATAATCTTTGAACGTTTCGTTTATCGAGGAAATTTTGAGCAAATGAAAACTTCCAGTGAAGAAATTGTTCAAAATAGTATAAAAAAGTTTTCTGGAAATTATTGAATTATCAAAATTGATAGAAAAAATTCTAACAACGTTTAACTTTTCTCGCGCGGCGGACTCTAACGAAACGAATTTCTATATCTGGCGGAGCCAGCCAGGACTGTCTGTTTTTTCATTTCACAGCTTAGAATAATGAAAACAAAACATTAATATGCTTTTTTCGGAAAACAATATTTTTCATATCACTCAATATAAGAATAAATCAATTATTATATTAGCGTTAAAAAATATTATTAAAATAATAAATATTAATTATTTTCATTATTCTAAGCTGTGAAATGAAAAAACAGACAGTCCTGGCTGGCTCCGCCAGATATAGAAATTCGTTTCGTTAGAGTCCGCCGCGCGAGAAAAGTTAAACGATGTTAGAATTTTTTCTATCAATTTTGATAATTTAATAATTTCCAGAAAACTTTTTTATACTATTTTAAACAACTTCTTCACTGGAAGTTTTCATTTACTCAAAATTTCCTCGATAAACGAAGCGTTCAAAGATTATGGTGTTAAAATTTTACCATTGGCTAATAAATATTTTTTAGTTTGTTTATAAACAAACATATAAATTTTTAAAACATATATGCTCAAAAAGGATAATATAAAGTGTGTCCATTCTAAATTTGATTGAAAAATATGCAAAATTGTAGATTTGGCAGCGAGTTGAAGATGAAATTTTAATTAAAAATTCGTTTGAGAAAAAACAAGTTTTTTAATTTTATTTAAAAAAATATTAATTCTACAACTTTTTCTCAAAGGAAAAAAAGATGCAGTTTTTTATTCTTTATAAAAATAAAATTTAAAAATTTTGAAGTTGAATATTTTATTGCCAGGGGACAACCCCCCACTCTTTTCTCGGAGCTATGTCTGGTTCTTGCATCAAGGCGTTCGATTTAGTATAAAAATTTCAATTATTTTAAAATTCTTTGAAGGAATTCAATTATTTTCAATACAATTTTAATAAAATATTTGAATTCAATTATTCTTAAAGTTATATATAGTAATAATGATGTTATCACTCGGTCGATAAATTAATAAAAACGATGAGATAGTCGATCACTCCGAGTCAGGATTCTGACTCGGAGTGATCCACTATCTCATCGTTTTTATTATTCTTACAATTGTTAATAAATCCCTTACCAGAATTTCAATTATTCTTCGAATTTTTTATAAATTTCTTGTCAAAATGTAAATTATTTTTAAATTCTTTGCAAGAATTTCATTATTTTTAATACAATTCTAATAAAATAATAGCTGAATTTAAATTATTTTTAATTTTTCGTATGAATTCGATTATTTTCAATAAAATGTCTCAAGAAAATTCTAATAAAATAACTGAATTCAATTATTTAAAAAAATTTTTATAGATTTCTATGCAAAATTTTAATTACCCGTGTGGAAATTGCCCGACTTCACCTTATTTGAAGAAGGGCACTGATTAGGAATTAGTTAGGCCAACCACACTAATAATATCTGGATAGGCAATAATCGGGCATTGACTAGAATGCCCTCTTTTCTTAAATAAGGAAATCTAGCTGGTTCTATTTAGGCCCCTATTAAATATTTGAATCAGGCCCTAACTAGAATGCCCTTTTTCTCTAACAAGTGGTAAAAAAATGTTCTCTTTAGTGTATAAGGACAGGTTGATAGGTCAAAACAGTATTGTTTACATGTGTGTTTGTTCAGTGACTTGCTCAGTGTGGGCTTTACTTTACTTTGACTTGTAAAAAATTTAAATTTTGACTGAATAAAATAATGTTTAAAAAAATTTTAGTTAAAAATTCTAGAAAATAATAATTATTAAATATTTATTTAAAAAAGAAATTATTGATGTTTTCGAATAATTTTACAATTAAAGAAATTCGCAAGTAAAAGTAGAACATTTTTTTGAGTATCTAATAATTTTTAAAGTGAATCAGAATATTTTTTAGAATAAGGAAAAAAAATCAAAATTTTGTCTGGAAGTTAGGGAAAAATAGGGGAAAAATAAAATAAAATTTTTGTAGCAACCCATCTTCCCTTTATTAAGAAAATAATAGAAAAAGTAAAAATCCACTTGAATATCACTTAAAGAAATGTTTTTAACTAAACCTCGACGTGGTGAGAAGTTTTAAAGAGTTGACTTGGCGGGAAAGCTTAATTAAACCGCTTTTCGTACGCGCGTCACACGATACTTCTCTTTTTTCCACCTTTTCCCTATTGGAAACGACCAACTTTGAAACCCGTCAAAGTCGACTTTCTCGCGAAGCACACCGATCCCAATTAAAATGATTTCTATGCTTAAAAGTGCGACCCCATCGAGTTCTCCAAGCACACGTTCATAAATCATCTGCCCATTCGATGGAAAGCGGATGGAAGAAAGAGGAGTGGAAAAAAAGATGACGAAGAAGAAAGGAAGGGTGCTGAACGAAAATGTGTGGAAAAAGAGCCCAGTAGACTGGGAGAAAAGGAAACGACGAGTTATAGAGCTGAA